GCAGTCAAAGAATTGAGCTACCCAGTGGCTTCTCTTGTCACTGGCTAGATTTTAGAACAAACCTAATTCTCTTGTCCTGACAGGAAAGAACTAGGGAGTCCAGAGGGCATGCTGATGTGTTCCTCCATTGAGGAGTTGAAGAATGTCTGGCTTCCTTTCTCCATTCGCATGAAGATAACCAAGAACAAAGGGCTGGACGTTTGCAATTGGACTGATGGGGATGAGATACAGGTTGTTGAACAACTGGGAGGAGAAAGGGGAATAAGGGAGAGAAGGTTGGGACAGAAGCAGGGCAAGGGGAAGATGGAATTTAGTATAGGGAAAAGAAAGGGAATAAAGCCGAGTATTTCCCAGTTGTGGGCTTTTCCAGAGTGACTCAGTTCAGTATTAAAAGTCATAGATGGGCTAGAATGGAGATAACCACCCTGGTCCCCCATCCCCATACCCCAAACTCCCTGTCCTTTATCCCCGTTCCCCTTCCTTCCCCATCCTTAAACTTAGCTTAGCAGCCTGGGTACCCCCTCACAGTGGGGCCCAGCCAGGGCAGAGGAGGAGCATGGTGTCTCTGTGTATGACTTGATGGCTACTGTGGTACACATCCTGGACTCACGCACAGGGGGCAGCCTGGTGGCTCACATCAAAGTCGGAGAGACCTACCACCAGCGTAAGGAGGTGAGTGAGATTCTACAAGGCAGGGACACTCCTGGCGGTAGCCACAGTGGAGTCCCAGGTCTGCCCCTATCTTAAGTCTGAGCCAGACTGGTCCAGCTGTCACTTTGGCGTCAGTCTTTTTTCTCTTATCTCCACAGGGTGTTACCCACCAGCAGTGGTATCTCTTCAATGACTTTCTTATTGAACCTATTGATAAGGTTAGTTGTTATACATTCCGTTCTCCCTTTCATCTCCCCTTCTCCTACGGTTCTCATCCTCCTCCTAGAGAATGCCATGCAGATTGCAGATTCGGGAGGGAGAGAGGGATCCTTAAGAATAAAAAGTTTTGGGTGCCTGGGTGGCTCAGTGGGTTAAGCCTCTGCCTTTGGCTCCTGTCATGATCCCAGGGTCCTGGGATTGAGGCCCAAGTTGGGCTCTCTGCTCAGCAGGGAGCCTGCTTCCCTCTCTCTCTGCCTGCCTCTCTGCCTACTGGTGATCTCTCTCTGTCAAATAAATAAATAAAATCTTAAAAAAAAAAAGAATAAAAAGCATTAGCAGAATTAAAAAATAGCACCTAGTTCTGTCTTCTCTCTGGCTAGGGAAAAAGGAAAAAGGGGTATAAATGTAGGCCATTAAGTGCTTTTTCTTTTATAGCATGAAGCTGTGCAGTTTGACATGAATTGGAAAGTGCCTGCTATCCTTTATTACGTCAAAAGGAATCTTAATTCCAAATACAACTTGAACAGTAAGTGGTACAGAGTAGATCAAAGGGTGTGGGCCATTAAGATTGGTCTTTAGGAAGAGATTGTGTTAAGATTAGAATAGGTAACAGTGTTAACATTTCCAGGGATACTAAAGAGAGTCCTGTTCATCAGGCCTTAAATTTAGAACTTGGAAATCCTGAGATGTAATGGGGGAAGAGTTGATGGGGAGAAATCTGATCAAAATGGCTAAGGTTATGATTTTCAGTCTAATCATTCTTTTCCCCAAATGAAGCTTTCTTCTTCTTTTAGAGGTTAACTCCTTACTAAGGCCCTTTTTGGTGTCTTTAACCAGAGTTTCCCTGCAGCTTTATTTTTCTGGATTTTTTAAGCTAAAGTCCAGAGCTAAAGTCTTATTCTTTCCTCTCTGCTTTTTTGTTTTTTTCATAACATATTCCTTAATAGTTTTCTGATTTGATCTATTCCATCCATCTGTTCATCAGCCATGATCTTTTTACTCACATGCTTTGATTATTGAGGGATCACAGCATAGACCCCAGTCTCTGGTCAGCCATTTGGGTTTCCCTCCTCTGGTTACTTCCCTGTCCCAAGCCATCTGTCTTCTGGATTTTTCCTTCCAGTCAAGAACCCTATTGAGGCAAGTGTCCTGCTGGCTGAAGCCTCACTAGCACGGAAGCAGCGGAAAACACATACTACCTTTATTCCACTGATGCTGAATGAGATGCCACAGGTTGGGGACTTGGTGGGCCTGGATGCTGAGTTTGTCACCCTTAATGAGGTAACAAAGTCCAAAAGAGTGTGGTGTTGGAACAGAACTCTGGAGAGATATTAGGAGTCATAATTTTCTTATCAATTCTCGTCACGCAGGAGGAAGCAGAGTTACGCAGTGATGGCACTAAGTCTACCATCAAACCAAGCCAGATGTCAGTAGCAAGGATCACCTGTGTTCGGGGCCAGGGACCCAATGAGGGTATTCCCTTCATTGATGACTACATCTCTACTCAGGAGCAGGTATTAGGATATGGAGGTGCAAGTGAGACAGATCTTGTGCATATGTAGAGTGCTCTAGACCCTCAAGAAGAGTGGTTGAGGGAGACTCTGCACCTCACTTCCTGAGCGGCTTATCCTTTTTTTTATGCCTAGGTGGTGGATTACTTGACTCAGTATTCGGGGATAAAGCCAGGAGACCTAGATGCCAAGATTTCCTCTAAGCACCTCACAACTCTCAAGTCTACCTACTTAAAGCTTCGTTTTCTTATAGACATTGGAGTCAAGTTTGTGGGTCATGGTTTGCAGAAGGACTTCCGGGTCATCAACCTCATGGTTCGGGCAGGGCTCTTTTAAGAGTCTTTGAATGTGGGCCCTTGAGGGTATACGTTTTGCTTTCGGAAAATGGGAAATTACAGATCGCCTGCCTTCAGTCTCTCACTCTTTTATCTCTGCCAGGTGCCCAAGGACCAAGTCCTTGACACTGTCTATCTGTTTCACATGCCCCGAAAACGAATGATATCCCTGCGATTCCTTGCTTGGTACTTTCTGGGTGAGTTGGTATTGGTGTACCTTGTAGGCCCCTGTGGTGCTCATCAGAGGAGTAGGGAGGACCCTGAGTTAGTAGTGAGAGTTACTTACGGATTTAAGAAGCTCCAGTATCTGTCTGCACTAGGGATGGTATTTGGCTCTTTCCCTTGGGGGCAGTCAAGTTTTTAAATTGTTTAATGGGAGTTGGAGATGTGAGTAGGGGACATAGTCTTACCTTCCTTTGCTAGGTCCCAAACTGTTCACTTCTAATTCCCACAGACTTGAAGATTCAAGGGGAAACCCATGACAGTATTGAGGATGCCCGAACAGCCCTTCAGCTCTACCGAAAATATCTGGAGCTAAGCAAAAATGGCACTGAGCCTGAGTCCTTCCACAAAGTGCTCAAGGGTCTTTATGAGAAGGGCCGAAAGATGGACTGGAAGGTGCCTGAACCTGAGGGCCAGACAAGTCCCAAGAGTAAGACCTGGGATGGGGCAAGGGAAATGGGGCAAGGGAAACTGGACAGGGTGGGTTTTGACTGTGTATGTAAAGATTATACCCAGGGTGATAATAATAATCGTGGTGATGTCAGCAACACTACCCTCCCCTTGTATTTGTAAAGCACTCAGTAGTTTACAAAGCACTTAATCTTCCCAACATTCAGTGAAGTAGATTGGATTACTGAAACTCTCCATTGATCCTAACCTCCTTTTCCCGGTTCTAAAATGTTTGGGGCAAGTTTGCCCTCTTTTCTCTTGCTTTTTCTACACTCACCTTAAGAGTCAATGCTCTTGGTTTTGTCTCTGACAGATGCAGCTGTCTTCTCCTCAGTGTTGGCGCTCTGACCTCACCCTCTTCCAGCGAACTGCCCCCTCTCCCTTCAGTGTTCTGTGGCCCCAGAACTGGGAGATGGCTTCCCAAGCTGGCTATACCTTGTCCACTTCCAGAATTGGACCTGCTCAGGGTCTACAGATGGTGCTATTAATAGAACTGGAACGCAGCAGAGTTGTTGCAAAGGGAAGAGGAGCCAAATTCCTTTTTCGTCCTTTGCAAAATAGAAGTCCAGAAACAGAGTCTAGAAATGACCCAAATGGAAAGTAATTGGTATTCTCCATTAATATCCTGGGTAATTAATATCCAAGCCACACAAAAACAAAAACAAAACCCCACATAAAACAAAACAAACGCTCCTGGAACCAGTACTCTCAGTTCCTAGTTGGCTAAGGACTGAAGTCCTGGACAGTGACAGGCTTACAACAGTAGCTCAGGACAGCTCAAGTCTCTGACTGCTTGAGGGATGCCTGGAGGGGTCAGGACATCGAGTATTGGTGTTCCTAGCAAACCAGTGTTGCCAACACCATCATTGCCAAAAGGGCCTTTGGGTCCTAGACAAAGCTTGGCTGCTGGCTTCACTCCTGCTGACAGCTGAGAAGCATCTGTCTTCCATCCACTCTCCTGTCCCATGTTTTGTTATTTTTAAAAATTTTGTTTTAAACTGCATGTTTTATAAAATAAAAACAAAAATATTATTGGCTGTTATCTATGTCATTAGACCTGGGAGTGTGGGATGCTCTGACTTAAGCCCTTCTTCTGCTTTCTTTGTATTGGCTTTCTAAAACTGGGAGAAAAACCAAAGCTTTCAAATTCCCACCTAGAAATGAAGGTGAAGCTCTGGAGTCCAAAGTTAAAGATGTTGGAGGAATACAATTATGTCTTTCCTCCACAACGTTAGGTCTTTGCTGTGACTGCCCAGTGCCCTAAGGTCGGATTCTTTTAAGACATAAGATATGGTTTCCTCGTTAACATTGCAAAAGGAAAGTTGGGGAAGCTGACAAACTACAGGTTTCAGGTTATCTTGAGACCTGTAGATACTAACAGGATCCGTGTAGTGCTGCGGTGCTTCCTGGGAGTTGTAGTTTCCTGACTATTGAAACCAGGGCTTCTCACCCACCAGCAGTGCACCTTTCTTTTGGAAGGTCCTAGCGCACCTAGACTGACAGACGCGCGCGTCAGACCGCCTCCTTACGCGCTCTGTCCTTGCTTCAGGCCACTCCTATTCTTCGGCTGACCCCTGGTGGTCACGTGGAGCTGCTCGCCACGCAAGTCTGGGTCCTTCTGCGATCCACCGGGGTCCTCGCTGCCTGGAAGCCCCTCCTGAGCTGCCTGTTCGCGCGAGAGTTTGGAGGGCCGGGTTTGGGGTCGGTCACCGGTGTGGGGCTCGCGCTGCCGCGCATCGGAGCCCCGCTTAGGCGCCCGCGTAGAGTGCGGGGAGCTGGGTCAGGCAGTCGCTGGGGCACCCTGCTTGGAAAGTGCCGGAGCGCTCTGGAGAAGCCTGGACAGCCCCGCTCCCCAGCAGCCAGGTGCTAGGGTCCGGAGCTAAAGTGAGAGTCCGGCCGTCTTCGAGCGCCTGGGCCACGGCGGCGGCCCTGGGAGCAGAGGTGGGACGGGTGCGAGTGGCACTAGTGTCGGTGATGGACTGAAGCGAAGGCAATGGCGGCGTCCTTAGAAAGGGGGCTGGTCCGCACGGGAAATAGCTTATGGGCTGGAGGTGGGGATGCAGTAATCTAAGGTGTGGGCCCACATAGGCCCGTTATTGAGTGCTCTTCTCCCGCCCTCCACCTCGCTGCCTCCCGGCCTGAATCAGCCGCCTCTCTTGCCGGCAGGTCCTCTGTGCCTGCTGTCCTCGCTTAATCGCCAGCCTCCGTTCCGCAGCTGCCACATAACCCTGTAAGCCCTAGGCAGCCGACGCTGAAGTACCAACATCTGGGGACTCACCTGACGACGTAGAGTCTGGGGCTGAGCCCCAAGTCCCTAGCTCGCGCTCTCACTCACCGCCGGGGGAATCCGAGTTCTCAGGCGCTGGGAACAGAGGAGACCCTTTGTGTCCTGGCCATTTCCTGAAAAGTAGAGCCAGAGTCACAGTGAGGCCTTTGTAGGCTTTGGGATAAGGGATGGGGGTTGGGTAATGGAGCCGGCTGCTTACACCTATGTTTTATTCCAACCCAAACCCAGGTGGAGCAACCCCGTTACGCTAAAGATGAAAGGCTGGGGTTGTTTGGCCCTGCTTCTGGGGGCCCTGCTGGGAACTGCCTGGGCTCGAAGGAGCCAGGATCTACACTGTGGAGGTAAGGGGACAAAGAGAAAAAGTGAGAGGAGGAGGGTGGGGAAGACAGAGCCTTGGGAGAGCATGAGATGCAGGGCCTGGGAGAAAGATGAATGGAAATCCCTGGTGATTCCTTTCTCCTTTCCTCCCTTCTCCTTTCTCTCCCCTGCCACCAGCTTGCAGGGCTCTGGTGGATGAACTAGAGTGGGAAATTGCCCAGGTGGATCCCAAGAAGACCATTCAGATGGGCTCTTTCCGAATTAATCCGGATGGCAGCCAGTCAGTGGTGGAGGTAACTGTTACTCTTCCCCCAAATAAAGTAGCTCACTCGGACTTTGAATGAGAACTCGACTAATTAAGAACCTTGGTTTAGTAGAACTGAAGAAAACATTGACCCAGAGAGGTAGCTAAAAGATAAGCCTGTCTCATTTGTAAGAGGCTTCTACCCTATGCATGTGTTTCCTGGTCCCAAACCTTAAGATTTTATTTCTGCTGTGGTTGGTTGTCAGCAAACCCAGATCAGCACCCTTCTCCACATCCTTAATTCATGTCACTCATGTTTTCACTATGGCATAATCGTATATGTACATTCATTCAAAATAGAAAGAGAAGGTCTTATCCTCGTATTTAGGAAATCTATGTTTTGGTTGAAAACATAACACAAATAAGCAAAGCTGTATCTAGTGAGCAGTATATAAGGAAAACTTAAGGCTACAATGTCTGTGAGATGCTTTAATAATTGTTATCCTCAAAGCCTATACTACCTCTCTAAGCCTACTACCGCTCCTGTTGAGGATAGGTATTAGTCTCATTTAATACAAAGAAATAAAACCATTAGCTTACATCTAGTATATGAGGTAAAATAAGATCATATATTTGAAAGCACTTTGGAACTATACAGATGAATTCTGTTGTTTTTAATTAAGGAAGGCTTTCTAGAATAAGTTGATCGAACTAGATTTGAAAGGAAAAGTAAGGATATAAATTACTAACGTATAGACGTAGAAGAATGTGACCCAAGGCTGAGGACATTTCTAGGTGCCTTATGCTCGCTCAGAGGCCCACCTCACAGAGCTGCTAGAGGAGGTATGTGACCGGATGAAGGAGTATGGGGAGCAGATTGACCCTTCCACCCACCGCAAGAACTACGTACGTGTAGTGGGCCGGAATGGAGAATCCAATGAACTGGACCTACAGGGCATCCGAATTGATTCAGACATCAGTGGCACTCTCAAGTTTGCGGTGAGCTTTGGGAGTGGGTAGCTGGTTTTTGAAGATTCGGGAATTACTGGAGAGCCCAAGTGGCAAGCTGTGCTAATGTCCTCCTCCTCTCTGGAGGCTTCTTCTTGCTGCCCTCTCTCACTCATTTCTCCCTTGGGTTGACAGTGTGAGAGCATTGTGGAGGAATATGAGGATGAACTCATTGAATTCTTTTCCCGAGAGGCTGACAATGTTAAAGACAAACTTTGTAGTAAGCGAACAGGTAAACTACTCTCATTTTACTGCCAGTCTTCACAGCCCTTTGGAACCCGGCACATTCCCTAGCATGTTCCTCCACCTCCCACCCCCATGTCCCATTCTCTGATAGTAGCTCCAGACATGGCTTCTATTACTTATGACTTAGGGACTTGGGTTCTTCCTCTCCATTCTCTTCCTGTCAGCTTTCAGAATTTGTGGCTCCCTCACCTGAGCTACAGGTGAGAGGATAGTGGGAATGTTTTGTCTTTGAAAAGGATATGCTCTGAGAAATGACGGTTGGTGTGTGCTAGTTTGGTTTTGGGTATTTTCTCGATAGTGGCATATATCGGTATGAGAGTGGCATTTTCCTTCAAATTGTTATGTGCTATTTGCAGATCTATGTGACCATGCCCTGCACATATCGCATGATGAGCTATGAACTACTGGAGCTGCCCAGACTGACAGGCTTGATGGATCACCCCCAGGAGGGGAAGAGGGTGGCAATGCCTTTTCTATTATGTTTTTACTGAAATGAACTGAAAAATTGTGAAACCAAAAGTATGAACTGTGTTGTCTTTTCATACCCAGCATTAATCCTTATATTAGGCTTAAAGATAGGGGATTCCCAATAGGAAAGGGAAGGGAAAGAGGAGCTTTGGAAATGGTGAAGTATTTGGAAAGCATGAAGGTAGGAGGAGTCTGAGACTTGCTTTCTTTTGCCATCTGAGATTCCTGCTGGACTCACAAACTAGATAAGCACTTACCAGTGCTTACTCAGTACCATGTGTTTAGAGACTAACGTGGCGAGAAGAGGAGCTTCTGTGAATAAGCAAGGGAACATAGGTAAGTGTGTGGTAGTATGGGATTCTAGAAATTACTTGTATTTATACCGATGAAACATAAAGTAAGACAGAGCTTGATCTTGAAATAACGGACATGCATTATTCTCCCCTCCCTGCCCTTCCAGACGGAGGGATCAGCAGTAGCAGACAGAAAGGGGAAATGGATATGATCAACTCATCCGAAACGTAAGGGCTCTATCAGATAGGGGGAGATGAGGTAAGGAGTGTTATTTAATGAAGGCCCTTGCTTGCTGACCTAAGCTTTTAGATCTTGATGCCAACTGCAACACTAAAGTATACCTTTATCATCTCCATCTGTCACCCTGGACTGTAAGTCTGTCCCCACTTTTTATGTGTAGAGATTCTGTACTGCATAGGGATGAAAACCTGTAGGGATGATACCTTCTATAAGGAGCTTCTAAACACCTCTGATCTAGAGGTGTGTCTGTCTCAGGGTTTGGAATGGAACATTTCTATCCCAGGAATGCCTCAGGGAAAGAACACCTGAATAAACATTTTGAAGACTTTTTGAATTATGCGTTTTAGAATCTAAGAGACTTCACAGGTCATCTAGTTCACCTCTGCCCATTTTACAGATGAAGAAGCTGAAGCCCAGAGATACCACCAGTCTTGAAGTTCTGTAGTGGCAAAATTGGATCAATAAGCTAATGTTCCCAAGTGTCAGTCTGATCAAATAGAGGTGTAAAGTAGCTTCTATTTTAAATCTTTTTTTCTCTTAATACCGTGCACTAAGCCTGGCACACAAAGTGAACAGGTTCAACAAAGCTTTCTTGTACCACAAATCCCTATGAAATCTAACACATGAACTAGTTCAGAGCAAGTATCCTGATATTAGTTGACAACTAAACTCAGGGTCTAGTGTTAACTCCTTCTTTTCTCATCAGACACAAGAAATGCTATATCCTGTCAAGTCCATTTTCCAGACCAGCTGTCACTAACCATTTTTTTCTCTTGTGTTGCATATGAATAATGTTCACATGCTTCATACCCCTGTGAGTATACCCAGGATTCTGTCCATTGTTTTGTGTCTGAAAACTTACTCTTCCATCAGAAAGCTTATCAAAAGTCTGAGAGTACTCTTATAGGAAACTCGAAATTGTTTTAATGTACAAAACAAATTATTTACAGGTTTTAATAAAATAGTGTTGACAATAAATAGTGATACACCTCACTAGTCTGTCAAGACACAGCTATTAAGAACTCTCCTGCCCAAGAATCTTTGCCATTGCTACACAGGGGTGTGTCCTACATAGGGAAGAGTGGACATTATTGTCCTTGACTTGATCCTCAGGAAGACATAGTTTGCACAGCTCTTTTTTTTTTTTTTTTTTTTAAGATTTTTATTTATTTGACAGACAGAGATCACGAGCAGGCAGAGAGGCAGGCAGAGAGAGGAGGAAGCAGGCTCCCTTTGGAGCAGAGAGCCTGATGTGGGTCTCGATCCCAGGACCCTGGGATCATGACCTGAGCCGAAGGCAGAGGCTTTAACCCACTGAGGCACCCAGGCGCCCCTGCACAGCTCTTTATTCATATCACAGGTTACCACAAGGAATCCACCAATTTATCTGAACCCTTCTGGAGGTTCCCTACAACAAATTATTCTAACCCATTATTTGGTAGATCAAATAGTAACTTTGCATACCTGATTACACCTTAAGCTTTAGATATCTTCTAAATGAGTTTATCGGTAAAATGTTAGAACTTAAAGAAACATCCTCAGAGATAGTATTAAATGAGATCTGGTTGTGACTAAACAAATTATGTGAAAATCTAGTCCTTTAAAAGTTTTAGGGACGGGGCGCCTGGGTGGCTCAGTGGGTTAAAGCTCTGCCTTCGGCTCAGGTCGTGATCCCAGGGTCCTGGGATCGAGCCCCGCATTGAGCCCTGCATTGGGCTCTCTGCTCAGCGGGGAGCCTGCTTCCTTCTCTCTCTCTCTCTCTCTGCCTGCCTCTCTGCCTACTTGTGATCTCTCTCTGTCAAATAAATAAATAAAATCTTAAAAAAAAAAAAGTTTTAGGGGCAACTGTGTGGCTCAGTCTGTTAAGCGTCTTGTCTTCGGCTCAGGTCATGATCCCAGGGTCCTGCGTTGAGCCCCGCATCAGGCCCCTGCTCAGTGGGGAGCCTGCTTCTCCCTCTCTCCCTGTTCATGCTCTCTCTTCTTTTCAATCACTCAAATAAATAAAATCTTTTTTTTTTAAAGATTTTATTTGTTTATTTGACAGAGATCACAAGTAGGCAGAGAAGCAGGCAGAGAGAGAGAGGAGGAAGCAGGCTCCCCGCTGAGCAGACAGTCCGATGCGGGGCTCGATCCCAGGACCCTGGGATCATGACCTGAGCCGAAAGCAGAGGCTTTAACCCACTGAGCCACCCAGGCGCCCCTCAAATAAATAAAATCTTTAAAAATTAAAAAAAAAAATAAGGTTTAGAGGGTTTTTATGCTATTAAAAAGGATTCAGAGCAGGGACAAGATTATCCTTTAAATATAGGACACGGATGAATAGCAAGGGTTAAAGAACTAGTATATGGTGAATCCTCCTATAACAAGCACATACACCTTATTTAATCTTTACAATTCTAAGAAAAAGATGTTACTCCCATTTTACAGATGAAGAAACTAAGCTCAAAGGGATTGTATCTTGGGGAGCCAAGACTTCAGTCTTAGTGATCATCTTATCCCTGGACCAGTGGTCTTTCTGCTACATTTCACTCCCTATAGTGGAGTCTCCATGTAGTCCCCAGTGCCTGTGTATACTAGTACTTTTATTTGTTTGAAAACTACCTCCCAAGTTTGAACACATGCCCTCTGACTCTAATAATCAATACCGAAAAGGCATCATACCTCCTGCAAGCTGTTTCTCCAGACTGATTATTCCTTGTAATAAGAAGCCATTCTACCCCTGGTCACTTTAGGTGCTGTTTGTCTTTCCTACCTGTATGTATTCTGGGAGGGTCATGATTTATCATGTATTTCCAGGTATGAATGTACAAAAGTTTTATAGATAAGTAAGACTATAGTTCTTATTTTGTAAAATACTTCATAGAACACACTGAGCTGGCGTGCCCAGGAGACAGTTAACAATGACTCAGAGTTGCAGCTGATAATTCACAGTCATCACCATATAAACAATACAGCTTATGGGGCGCCTGGGTGGCTCAGTGGGTTAAGCCGCTGCCTTCGGCTCAGGTCATGATCTCGGGGTCCTGGGATCGAGTCCCACATCGGGCTCTCTGCTTGGCAGGGAGCTTGCTTCCCTCTCTCTCTCTGCCTGCCTCTCTGCCTACTTGTGATCTCTGTCTGTCAAATAAATAAATAAAATCTTTAAAAAAAATAAAATAAACAATACAGCTTAGTAGTTAAGATACAGCTTTAGGCCAATTACAAACTATGATCCTCAGCAGGATACTTTATCTAAACCTCGGTTTTCTGCTCCATGGAGATCCTATTATCTACATCCCTTAGAGTTGTTGTTGTGAGGATTAATTAAGATAAGGCGTGTACCACGTTTAGATAGTACCTAGAAATTGTAAGTATTCAATAAATTTAAGGTATTACCTGTTAAATACAGGAGACTGACTTACTGAAGTAGGCAGTTTCAGTTGAAGTTTAGATTGCATTTTCCCACTAACCCTTAGCCACCAGGGGGCACCATTGCCCCTGTCCATTTTTAAAAGAGGTCCTGCCAAGGTCAAGATGACCTCAATTGTCAGCCTTCTCTGCATTGCCCCTCTCCTCGGGCACTTAGGTGTATTTGGACCTAAAGCTTATTTGGCTGCTTTAGTTGTGCCAATCCTGCCTTAACTTTCTTCTCTCCTCCCCAGGTCCCACTCACATTTAGAAACTGATTCTAAGCTAGATTCTGAGAGGTAGCATTTAGTCCTTCTCATCCCTGGGCTTTCCCACTGGCTCTATGTTAGTGGATGTCTGGACTAAACAACTTCAAAACAAGTCGATAAAGCCTTTGTAACACTAGGCTCCAAGACACGGTGTCAAGAGGCTTAGAGCATTGCTGTTTCCCACCCTTCCTCCAATCATTAGAGCTCCAAAGTAGGTTACCCTTAAAGCCACTCAATGATTATCTCTTTGGGGTAGGGGTGGGGGGACACCTGTCTGGTTCAGTAGGTAAAGTGAGACTCTTGATCTCGGGGTTCTGAGTTCAAGCCCCACATTGGGCATATATATTACTTAAAAATAAAATCTCTAATGATAATAAATAGAATAATAATTATTATTATTATCGCTTTGGTAGCCTCACCCAGAGAATGCCTCCTGTCTTTTCAGGGCACTTGAGTTCAAGCTTCTGGTCAGCTGGTTAGTCTCTGTGGATGATTAACCAGAGAGCAGAAACCAGGTCAGACTATTCTAGGGTTAGGAGGAAATCCTCTGTGAGATGCTAAATTGGGAGCAAATATTGATCAGTGGCGCTTTGAAGTCACCAAGAAGGTAGTTGAGGTCAGTGTTCCTTTGGGGCTCTGCTTGGCTTCTCTTTTTGAAGTTCTTTCCTAAGACCTACCTCTCTGATCCCCAAGCCAAAGGAGTATTGGTTGGTAGGTGTGAAGCTAGGTCCAAGGTAACTTGGGAAGAGAAAATGGTGGTTTTCCTTCTCTTTCCCCAACTCCAAAATATAAACTAGTTTCTTTTTTTTTTTTTTAAAGATTTTATTTATTTATTTGACAGATAGAGATCACAGGTAGGCAGCG